ATCACACGTGAAGAAAGCAAGAGGTCATTAAAAAGACAGGAAAGAAAAAAAAGACCAAAATGGATGTCAGAAGAGACTCTGAAACTTGCTCTTGAATGTAGAGTAGCTAAAGCAAAAGGAAGAAATGATGAAGTAAAAGAGCTGAACAGAAGATTTCAAAGGGCAGCTCCATAAGACAAAGTACTATAATGAAATGAGCGAAGACATGGAGTTAGCAAACCAAAAGGGAAGAACAAGCTCGGCATTTCTCAAGTTGAAAGAACTGAAGAAAAACTTCAAGCCTCAGGTTGCAATACTGAAGGATTCTATGGGCAAAATACTGAATGACACAGGAAGTAACGAAAGAAGATGGAAGGAATACACAGAGTCACTGTAACAAAAGAATTGGTTGACATTCAACTATTTCAGGAGGTAGCATATGATTAAAAACAGATGGTAATGAAGGAAGAAATCCAAGCTGCATTAAAGGCATTGGTGAAAATGTAGGCTCCAGGAACTGATGGAATACCAACTCCTGAAGCCTTAAAAATCCTCAAAACTGTACCAATAAGCAACATCATGATAAATGGAGAAAAGATTGGAGTCGTCAAGGATTTCATTTTACTTGGATCCAACAAATGGATGCAATGCCGGAAGCATTCACTCATCTATGTCAAAAAAATATTGAAGACAGCTACCTGGCTAACTGACTGAAAGAGATTCATATTTGTGCCCGTTCCAAAAAAGGCGATCCAACAGAATGTGGAAATTATCTAACAATATCATTAATATCATATGCAAGTAAAATTTTGCTGAAGATCATTCAAAAACATTGACAGGGAACTGCCAGAAATTCAAGCCGGATTCAGAAGAATTGCTGACGTCAGCTGGATCTTGGCTGAAAGCAGAGAATACCAGAAAGATGTTTACCTGTGTTTTTATTAACTATGTAAAGGCATTCAACAGTGTGGATCACAACAAATTATGGACAACATTACGAAGAATAGGACTTCCAGAACACCTAATTGTACTCACAATAACTTGTACATAGACTGAGAAGCAGTCGTTTGAACAGAACAAGGAGATACTGCATGGTTGGAAATCAGGAAAGGTGTGCGTCAGGGTGGTATCTTTTCACCATACTTACTCAATTTGTATGCTGAGCAAATAATCTGAGAAGCTGGACTACATGAAGAACGGAGCATCAGGATTGGAGAAAGACTTATTAACAACCTATGATACACAGATGATGCAACCTTGCTTGCTCAAAGTGAAGTGGACTTGAAGCACTTACTAATGAAGATCAAAGACTACAGCCTTCAGTATGGATTACACCTCAATGTAAAGAAAATAAAAATCCTCACAACTGTACCAATAAGCAACATCATGATAAATGGAGAAAGATTGGAGTTGTCAAGGATATCATTTTACTTGGATCCACAATCAACACTCATGGAAGCAGCAGTCAAGAAATCTAACGATGTATTGCGTTGGGCAAATCTGCTGCAAAAGACCTCTTTAAAGCGTTCAAAAGCAAAGATGTCACTTTGAGGACTAAGATGCACCTGACCCAAGCCCTGGTATTTTCAACTGCCTTATATGCACGCGAAAGCCGGACAATGAATAAGGAAGACCGAAGAACTGACCCCTCTGAATTATGGTGTTGGTGAAGAATACTGAATATACCATCAACTGCCGGAAGAATGAACAAATCTGCTTTGGAAGAAGTACAGCCACAATGTTCTTAGAAACGAGGATGGTGAGACTTCGTCTTAAGTACTCTACACACATTATCAGGAGGAACCAGTCCCTGGAGAAGGACATCATGCTTTTAAAGTATATGGTCAATGTTCTCAGGGAACATCTAGCTCAACTGGCATAATAGTTTATAAAGAAAATGTTCTACATTCTACTTTGGTAAGTAGCGTCTGGGGTCTTAAAAGCCTGTGAGCGACCATCTAAGATACTCCACTGGTCTCACCCCTTCAGAAGCAAGGGAGAATGAAGAAAACTAAAGATATAAGGGAAAGATTAGTCAAAAGGACTAATGGACCACATCTACCATGGTCTCCACCAGACTGAGTCCCGTACAACTAGATAGTGCCCAGCTACCACTGACTGCTCTCACAGGGACTACAGTAGAGGGTCCTGGACAGAACTGGAGAAAAACGTAGAACAAAATTCTCACTCACAAAAAAGACCAGACTTACTGGCCTGACAGAGACTGGAGAAACGCACAGAGTATGGCCCCCGGACATCCTTTTAGCTCCGTAGTGAAGTCACCCCCAAGGTTCACCCTTCAGCCAAAGGTTAGACAGGCCCATAAAACAAAACGAGACTAAAGGGGCACAACAGCCCAGGGACAAGGACTAGAAGGCAAGAGGGGACAGGAAAGCTGGTAATAGGGAACCTAAGGTTGAGAAGGGAAAGAGCTGACATGTCGTGGGGTTACTAACCAATGTCATAAAACAATATGTGTACTGTTTAATGAGAAACTAGTTTGTTCTGTAAACCATCATCTAAAGCACAATAAAAATAATAAATAAGTAAATAAAGTAGATGGTCAGCCAAAAAGAGGAAGACCCTCAGTGAGATGGATTGTTACACTGGCTGCAACAATGGACTCAAAACATAGCAATGACTGTGAGGATGGTGCAGGAGGACTGGGCAGTGTTTCGTTCTGTTGTACACAGGAGTGCTGTGAGTCAGAACTGACTCGACGGCACCTAACAACAAGAACAACAACATAATGGTAAACTGGTTTCAATTTTTACTTTGTATTCCTGTGTTTCATAAGGAAAATGTGAAAAAATCAACACATTCATAAAGAAATTTTAATCCTATTTTTATATTTAATTATTTTTCAAGAACAGTTTTGACTGACTTTAATCTTTTAATAATACTTACTGTGAATTCATGTCCTCTATTAATTGAGTGAGTTTTCTCCAGGGATTATACTCAGAATCAATGCTATACAGCCGCATGTGCAAGGCTAATACATGGAACAACTGATCTAAATAAATTGGAGAAAAGATCATTAGAAAGTTCACACGATTCTTCCAAAATAAAATTCTGACTAAATTTCTAATTAATTCATAAATAAATCTGTTTCTTATCCTTATAATTGTAATTTACCAAGTTTAAATATCAACTATTTCATGCTCTTTTAAGACAGAATCTGGAACAATGTGCCTACTTGCACATCTCCCTATTGTGGTCTCTTCCTAACCAAAATACTATGATCTTTAATACTCTACCCTCACAAAGAAACCACAAAGAAAGCACTCACTTTATACAAGGTAATTTATAGAAACATCGTATCATTAGCCACGTCATAAACCCAATACCTAGATTTACACAAAAGATGACTTGTAAATCAAAGGACAAAGCAAACATCTTGAATTATCACTTCTGCATTAAATTTTGATTTTTATGACAATTTTTCTTAAACCATTTGTAATTTAAACTATAACCTTGAAAAATGAGTAAATATTTCTTAAATTTCAAGACCCATCTGCCTCATCAAGTGGAATTTTAAGCTGCCTGTAGAAGAAAACTTTAGAAATATAGAAATATGCATACTTAGCATAGAATAGGTACCATAGAAGTTTACAGTATTTTAACCCAATTTTTATACCTAATTATTTTCAAATGATTAAAAATTCAAAATGAATCTAGTACCAATTTTCAGATGAATTTAAGATATTCCTTTTTCAAAAAGGCAATCAGTGGAAATGTAACGTTATCTATATACAACAGGTAATTTCTTAATCTTAGTTATTTCAAAGCATTTTTAATGTTTGTGAAATATAACCAATCTTATTCTAAAGTATGTTCATAGCACATATACCTTTTACCAAACCAGTATGCTTAAGAAAAAATAAGGTAAAGAGAGTCTTGCAGAAATGACAAAACACACTTAGACCATGAAAAAGGTTTGTTCCCTAAACTGACAAATGCCACATAAATTCTAATCTGCCTTTTTATTTAACATATTTTTTGAGTGTCAGGAAATGAAGGACTCCCTTCTTTTATTAACACCAATATAAGCATCACAAATTTTAATAAAAATCCTTCAAAAGGATTTTAAGTTATTGTTAAACCCATTTCATACGCTTAGTATGGCTATTTAAAGGACTATTGCTAAAGTAATGTGTTATTTTTCCACAGATTCTAGTTTCCACACAAGGACAATAATATCCATATAAATTACTGTTAGATAAAGTTTTTTTCTTTCCCTAATACTTCCCCCTAAATTCTCTTTGGACTGAATTGTGACTTCAACATGAAGAAAAAAGTAAAGTAAGAGATTACTTATGAGGACTATTCCTGCTATTTTAATTTCTTCTGTTTAATTCCTACTATTTAATTTTTTCTACCTACCAGTTTTAGCTTTCAACAAAATTCTGCTCATGATATTTAGAAGAAAAATTTTTGTTTTTAATTTTTAAATTATTCAGAAAACAATCCTAAATTTTGCTTTTGTATCAGACGTCCTTTTTTCATTCCTTCTTTAATAAATGACAAGGATTGAATTATTCTGCCAAAAATACTCAAAAGTATTTGAGAATCAAAAGTCATGTTCTGGAAAGTCAGATAATGTTTTCTGATATATGGTTGAAATTAACTCTTTTGTGTGCATGTGTGTGTTTTAAATTTTATTTTGTTGTTGCTGAGAATATACAGAGCAAAACATATACCAATTCAACAGCTTCTACATGTACAATTTAGTGACACTGATTACATTCTCGAGTTGTGCAACCATTCTCACCCTCCTTTTGTAAGTTGTTCCTCCCTCATTAACAAAAATTCACTGCCCTCTATGGTTCCCATCTAATCTTTCGAGTTGCTGTTGTCAATTTGATCCCATATAGTTAGTCCTTAAAAGAGCATAAAATGCTCAAGGCAGATATTTTTTACTAGTTAAGTTAACCTATTGTTTGGTATTAAGAAGACTTCAGGGGATATTTTTGGTTTAAGGTTTAAAGATTATCTCAGGGCAACAGTTTCAGGGGTTCATCCAACTTTTATGGCTACTGAAATTAATTCTTAAAAGCAGAAAAAGAAAAAGCTAGATGATACAAACCTAACATTCTCTACATTTAAATTATGAAAACTAAACAAGAGTTTATTTTTCTGAACAGACTTAGAAATTAACTGTATTTAATTTTAAAGATTAACTTACTTGAGATTCATCAATATAACTTTCCTATATTTGTTATATATATATGTGTGTGTATATGTAAGTATGTATGTATATAAAACCCATCACTGCCAAGTTGATTCCAATGCATAGTGACCCTTTCGGTCAGAGAAGAACTGCCCCATAGCGTTTCCAAGGAGTGACTGGTGGATTTGAACTGCTGACGTTTTGGTTAGCAGCCAAATGCTTAACCACCACTAGGGCTCATATATACATACACACACACACGCACACATATATATATGTCTACACATATATACACACACACACATATATATATATATAAAACAGTTTTGGGAAGTTGCTGTAAGACAGATGAGAGCTATATAATGAGCAAAATAAATGTTTCACTCTGGGGGGGAGAGTAGAGGAAATGGAGGAGGTGGGCAGGGGATCTGAATTTTAACAATCTACATCTAATCATTTCTGTCAAGTTTCAATCCAATTTCGCTATAATGAACAGAATCTAAATACTCTAGCCAATTTCACCTCCTGTCTATAAGTCAATGAACAGACTAAATCCCCTCTTAATATTTCTTCACCCTATTAATGGCTAACATTAGTTGAGAATTTATTACATGCCAAGCACTATGTTAATAATCACTTTACATGGATTATCTCAATTAGTTTTCACAAAAACTCTAGTAGGTAGGCAATATTGATATCCCCATTTTTGAGATACGGAAGTTTTCCAAATTTATTGGAACATTAAACCATTTTTTCCACTAACCTGGTTCCATGGATGAAAGCGGAAGTTTTAAGCAGAGGAATAATAATCATAAAAATATATATTACTGACTTTTATTTTATTTTGATTCTATTATGCATAAGGAGATCGGTTTTACTAAATTAGTAAATAATTAAAAGTAAAACTGTTTTAAAGATTAAAACCTAAAAGTGTTTAAAACACTAAATACTTCTAGCAGAAAAATATCAAGATTAACTCAAGCTGTAATATGAGAAGCTTTGTATTCTTTTTTATGTAGGTGTTAAGTGAATCAATGAACTTTTTTTAATATCTCCTTTCAAGATGAAGGTCAATTATCTAAAAGTTTTTCTGATTTAATCAAAAGCATGTAAGTTATACTTTTACTAACTTGTTTTGCATTGAAACCACTGCCAGCACAGAAATAATGCTGCAATCTGTGTATTTTCCTAGCCCCTAGTAATTACCAAATTTTAGAAGGAAACTTTTCATCTTCTTATTATTCTATGGATGATGAAATAGGCCCAGAGAAGGGAAGTACCTTGCCTTGGTCACCGTAATAGTTATTGAAAAAGCTTAGAACAGAATTCAAGATTTGCTACTTCCTCATTATTTCTATCACTCCATTTCTCCTTGGGGTTTTTATAGTTAAAAGAAAAATACAAAATTTCTTTACACACACACACACACACACACACACACACGCACACCCCTGCCAGGCCTTTCTTCTAAGCCTCTTCTGTGTGGATTCAAACTGTCAACATTCCTTCTAGTAGTTGAGGGCTCAACCATTTGCGCCACCCAAGGACTCCTCACATGTAGTATTAAAAAACTACGCTGAATATTGTACGATTAAATCCTATGAAAAATCACGCAACATAAGCATAAAATTCATGATGGTTTTATTCTTTTCACTTTCTGTCATCATAACACACTGGGGCTCAGTAACCAAGAAGTAGGCCAATTAATCAGCCCTAATTTCATTGCCCCCAAAGGGCATGACCTCTCAGTTCTGTTAATGCAGTGCTTGACCTACTTGCTCCCATCATCATCTTCTCTGCGCTGCTTGCTATGACAACTCACCTGGAATAAAGAATTCTATTTTCTGCAACACCTAATCAAATTCTTTACAATTGTGACAAGTCTAAAATATAATAACGTGCTTAATCACAAGACAGGCACATAATAACTAAAACTGAGAAAAGACCACTGAAAGACCTGTTTGTCCTTAATAAAACTTAAGATTTAATTATAAAGAACTCTTAAAACAAAAAGGTAAGATTTAACAATTCCTTCTATCTTTATGAACATTATGATTAAGGTAAGACTATATTATGAAAAATATATACATATATAATAAAAACATTGAAAAATATATGTATAATAGAAACATAATTCCAAATTTATTATACAATTGAGTTCCACACGCATGTATAGTACCCGCACACACACACACACACATATTTATAGACACACTAAAGAACTACTATTATGCTAATTTTTTTAACCTCAGGAAAAACAATGTAAGGAACTGAAGTCTGAAGTTGTTATGTGTTAAAGATCGTTCAAAAGTACGTTTAAAACAGATGTTCACTGAGCTCTGTATCAGCTTGGAAATTCCGTCTCTATTATTTCTAAACCTGTAAGAAACCTAAAGCTGGTAGATTATTTCTTACCATAATTGGTCGTAAGACATAAATACATATTAAACAGGAGAGTTATCCTAAAGATATTTAAAAATTTGTTCTATCTGAAATTGTACCACTGTTAAAATGTACCTAAGATAAACTTAACTGAGTCAGATCATTCAAGATTTCACTCTTACCAGTTTAATCATAACTGGTCAAATAATAATCAGTGACAAAAATCTCAACTAGCTAAATGACTCTAAATTACCATAGGAAAATCTCAGTTTCTCTGTAAATGAATAACAAAAGTGAGGAAATGGCTCTGACCCATTTATTCTAGGGTGAAAATAATAAGTATGGGTATACACTACTCACAGCAGAGCCAGCTTCCTACAGTTCCTCTGTACACCCCTGAGAAATGAGCCTCAGAGAGATGGGAAAGGGGGCTCCACCAAGCGTGGTCCAGGAGCAGCTCT